GGGAGGGAGGGAGAGAGAGAGAGGGAGGGAGGGAGGGAGGGAGAGAAAGACAGGAAAAAGGGAGAAACGTAACTTTAATTCAGATATCTCTTGACAATCACATAAATTCTGGATAATCTGGCTAAAAGGACTTCAAGGGACCTATTAGTTTCTGGTTTGTGTTAGGAGCACATATCCCATCAAATAAGAAAATAGTATACTTATTGTCAACCAGATCTCTTTTTAAAGTGATTATGAGGACATTAGTTAAGCCATCACGTACAACCAACCATCCGAATCAGAACCAGGTATTTTAAAGACACATGAGTAAAAATAGAATAAAGCTCCGGGCCTCTTGATTAAAAGAATACAGGAAGATAAAATAATGTTGAACCTCCTACCTGATAACCTTGTTAATGGTTGTAATAACTTGGGAAATCAGCCTTAAATATGATAGTGAAGGGTATTAAGTGAAATAAGACAGATACGGAAAGAAAAGCACTGTATGTTCCCTCTCATATGTGGTAGCTTAAGAAGTCAACTTTAATGTAGAATTCATAGTTATTACTAGAGATTGAGAAGGGGGAAAGGGGAGAGGGGAGGTTGGATTTGATCTGTTCATGTTGTATGCATGTAAGGAAATATCATGCTGAACCTCATTAATACGTACAATTAATATGTGTTGATTAAAAATTTTAACTGAAATTATTTTACCCAGAAGTTATTTTTAACATACCAAAAACTCTTGTAATCCTTACATATAAGACAGTATCTGTGAGCAGCACAGGATAGCAGAAGGTGGTAAATAGAATATACACTAGGGTTTTGGTTTTTGTTGGTTTTTTTGTTTTGTTTTGGAGGGTAGAGCAGTGTGTGACAAAGAAGAGAAAAAGAATTGTTCTCTGAGTACAGTGGAACTCCTGCCTTTGACCTTTCTCTATATCTGCTTTCCACTAAGAGTAAGTGTGGAGGGTGGTGTGCAGGAAAAAAGGAAAATAGGTCTTCTGAGAAGAAGACTGTAATTTTTTCCCAATCCTTAATTTTTTACATCCTTCACATTTTGATGTCCATAGCCAAAGCCTTAGCTGATGTGTCTGTTTAACTGTACAATTTATAGAAGTGCAAAAAGTCCTATAGAAACAACTCCAATATATCTGCTTAGCCCAAATCCTACTCCGGGTTGAAATGAACAATAGCTATTAATTGAACAGTTAGCCAAATTCTTATATGCATTTTCATAGTAATCCTAACAAGAATCCTACATTTTACAGAATGGAAAATGGAGGCTTCAAAACTATTGGTAACTTGCTCAGTGTCCCAATTATTTTGGTTGTTCTCGAATTTGAAACAGTAAGAAGAGAATTCAAGATTATAACTAATATTCATGCCCCTCTTGTCATTTTCTTAAAACTCTTATCTTTCACTCTGTTTAATCAATAATATTCACCATCGCCTAAAGGAAAAGAATGATAAATCATACTAGCAGAGGACAGGTTTTAAGTTGCAAATAAATGCACAGACCTTGAACTGCAAGACACTGAACTTTGAATTTCAAAAGCCAAAGCCCAGAATGACTCAAGGAAAGTTTATGCAGCAGCAATAGAATTTGAATTACCTCACCACTAGAGAATGGAGAGAGAAAAATGAGAAAGAAAGCAACAAACTTGGTGTTGTCCCTTGAGAGGACCACTTGTGTACTCTCAAGAGTCACTGTCTCCAGGACAAAGTGTAAGTCCACCTCTGGAGAGATTTGAGAATCTGGAACAAAGAGCATTGGATGGACATTCGGGATCTCAAAATCCCTTGAGGACAGGAAAAGACTAGAAACCTCTGTTAGGCTGGTGTGTCCTTGTAATGAAGCTAATCAAATTCCCTGGATTTGTACCTGTGAAGTAAGTGAGTTAACCAGAAACCTCCCCAATAGCCTACGCCTAAACTTTACCCCTTTTCTTCCCCCAGACTGCTTGTTCAAAGTGACCAGCACATAACTTACCTTGTGGTTAAGAACAAAGGACAGGACATGTACTGCGGCCCTAACCATAAAGATAGGAATTTCCTGCTGGGTCCCAAAAATTGGATTTTAATCTAACTTTCAGTCTGCTTCTGTACCCCTGTGCTTGCTCAAAGATGAGATCATGACATTCTGTTGTGTAGTTTTTCCCTTTAAAAACGGCTTCCTTGCTTGATCTTACCGAAGGAAGTTAAGAGCAAGATCTCAGCCTTTGGTCATTGGCTATAAAGGACTTTTAATATGAACATTTTCGTGGCGTGATTCTTTTTGCTGAAATGGCCATAACACCTGCCCCAGCAGGACATCTAGGACACTCAAGAGCTGTGTAAGTCAGGTTTGGTGGCACATGCCTGTAATCCTAGCACTTGGGAGGCTGAAGCAGGAGGATTGCCCTGAGTTCAAGGCCATAGCAAGAACATGGGGGGGGGGGGTACCACAGGTAGAAATAATATGTAGCAGGTAGAAACAAGAACAGACCCATAAATGAAAAAAAGATAAGAGGGACTTCACTCTTCCCAGGAAGAACTTTTATTTCTCCTTCTCCAGCTGCCCCCAAATGCCCTGCAGCTGGCATAGCTGTGTCAGATGTCCCATAGCAGCTTGAGGAGAATTTTGCTTTGGCTGTAGCAATCTTTAGACATAGGTCCATCCCAAATGACTGCACCTCACAGCCTGTCTGAATGATTCTGCCCCTTGGAAGCCATCCCCAAACTACTCTGTGAAGAACTCCCCTATCATAACTACAGTAATCAGAAAGTCTGTCACTGCATATCATGAACCCATTTTTCCCCCTCTATAAGCAACCTCCCCATAACCTTAGTGAGTCAGTCCTTGCACTGTTTCCCTCTGATGCTGCAGCATAAATTCTAATACAGCCTATTCATGACATCTGTCTTGACTAAAACATGTAAAACGAAGAGCAGCTAACACCAAAGGCAGACAAGTGAGCAGCAGCTGGGGCTGGTAATGATGAGAATGGCTAGCAACAAGATTCAGATGTAGAAAAATCAACCATATTATCAGCCATATTGTCAACATATAGAATCACCTGGGAAGATTATAAAAATAATTTTCTTGGTCCTCATGGCCAAAA